CTTGCGGCGCGTGCATGCGAATCGAGGACTGCAGAAAAGAAGGTAGGCTATTGACATCGCCTGTAGTGATGAAAATCCAAAATTCTCATACTGATACAACAACACAAAAGCGAAGAACTTGCTGTGCTTCTTTGAGAATTTTTAATGATATACATACTTTATTCCTGAAGCCTTTTTTGGATATTTAACAATAAGAATACCAGAGCATAGTTCTTCACTGAGCTGTCGGTTATTCCTATATAACAACTAAAAAGGAGAAACTAAACCTTTTCTACATCGGCTTTGGATGAACTGAAGACGAGTACAAGTTTCCTCAAATAGATTCCTTCAGCTGCTAGACTGAAATTACTTTTGTGTAGATAGACTGAAGTAGCCAATTCGAGATACAATACCCAAGAACGCATTCCGGATCTTCTGGCACTCGAAAACGCTTAGGAACATCTCGGATAACATTGCCAGTACTGAGCTCGCTGATATGGCCATCGCAACAGATTCGCTCAGTCAAATCAACAGGACGAAAATGAGTTTCGAATACCTAAAACACACAAAAACAACAACATGCACATATGTGATGGTAGAGCTCCATGTTCAGCAAATTGCTGTTTATTGCAAAACAAAAAAGTTTTATCTATAAGTGGAAATGATAGTCGAAATAAAAACAAGCTTATGAAGAACAAAGAAGATACCTTGGCATTCAACCATTCGCCAACAGCGACCAAGTTTTCCAGTGTTGCACTCATACCTATCAGACGAATTCTTTTGTCGGGATTACTAGAAAAGAGGTATTTTGGCAGTTGCGTCGATAGTTTTCCCCAACAAATGAAATGAAGAAAATACTGTGGTTAATATTCAGATTAGCGGTGTCGAGTAATACAAAGCAATTTGCAAGAAGGACTTATGCGTTTGGCTTTTCAAGGTGTTTTACATCAAAATAACTGCTCTTCTAAAATCATTAATTCCGCTACAAGCAAATAATGTTAATAAAGAAATCTGCCACTTTCAAGAGAAGCACTTAAAAAAAGATAATTCACACCGTAGCAGAACTCAAGATGGAAAACTCTGGAAAACTAGTAAGAGATAATTTTCGCAAACTAAGAGTCCACATCTAATAGTAATAAATTAGAACGAAAAATTACCGTGTATTCCATAGATTGATCTTAGCACAAAGTGATTCCAGAATCATACCGCGAGATGGATCGAAAATCATGTGAAGCTCATCGAT